TGTTTGGACTTTGGGTGAGGGGGGTATGGGACTTGGTGGCGGGGCAGGGCAGTTACAGAGAGACTGCAGCGGGGCTCTCTCCTCCTGCCTCCGGTCCTGCAGAACATCCACAAGGCGGCGGAGCGTGTCCGTTTGCTCCCTCATTAGTCCAAGCAGCGTTTGAGTAGCCTGCCTGTCCTCCTGTCGCCACCTCTCCTCCCGTTCAATATTTGCCCGGTGCATTTGGGACAAGTTCTCCCTCCACTGTGTCTGCTGGGCTGCCTGTGCTCGGGAGCATCCCATTAGTTCAGCAAACATGTCTTCCCGTGTCCTCTTCTTCCTCCTCCTAATGTGCGCTAGCCTCTGGGCAGATGTGGCTGTGGGAATTGGAAAAAGGGAGTGAATTCCTGAGACAGATCAATGTATCTGTGAACAGAGAACATAGTCTTTCTCTGTGAACAAGACCATGCAGAGCACCTATCACATGCGCACTGAGGACAAGGTCGAATTTTCGGCCCTCGCCTACAGTGCCTGCGGTCTTGCTGTGGCGAGCTGAGGAGCAGGGCAGGACACCGGACTTTGTCTAGATGGCAAACATGGTAAGCCGTAGACTTGTGGCCGCTTAAAACTTTAAGAGTGGCACTGGCCTCCTTTCACATAGAAAGCAATGCGAGTCTCTGCTGGCAGCAATCCTGCAAGCATGAACTCTGGCCCTGTCCCACCCCCTCGCGGCTGTAAACCGCGTGGCTGTAAACCGGCGGTTGCAGTTCTGTAAAGGGACGGGCAAGCAGTCCCAATACTAACTTTCCCCTACCTAATTCACAGCAGGGAGTCATGCCAGACATCACCCTCCTGAAGGTCTCGGAGAGCCAGAAGGAGAAGATGCTCCGGGACAGCCTGCAGAAACCGGGGCCATTTGCTGCAATGCTCTGCAAGGCCATGATCCCCGAGTACCTGCTGGCGTTGTGGCAGGGAAACGTGTCCTACCACGGGGGGCCTAATAAGCTCTCCCTGCCCAGGAACCTGCTTATGAGGCTGGAAAAACACCTGCAGGAGGCCTATGAGGAGTTCTCCCCGGAGGATGTCGCCTCTATCCCCGGTTACATTGACCAGTTTTTGGCTTAGGTGCCCTTGGAGGGACAAATGAGTGCAGCGTTTTGGGCACTATAATCATGAAGCGGACATTGTGAAATTTTTTGAAAATAGTTCGGACTATATATTGAAGCGCCCAAAGACAGACTAATCATGATACACTTTGCACAGATTCCCGTTTTGTTTGACTTTCCTGTTTACATGTTTTGAAGCACTTTACCCACTGTTAATATTTTAAATCTTTCTGTTTTGTTGTAAATAAATGTTTACATGTTTTAATGCACTTTAGCTATTGTTAATATTTTAAATATGCCAGTTATGTTATAAATAAATGTTTAGATATTTAAAACACTTACTGCTTGATCCTTCCCCTGAATCTGTGTCTGGGATAACGGCTGGGGAGGGTTGGTAGGGGATCTCTGTCAGGGTGATGAAGAGCTCCTGGCTGTCGGGCAAATCAGCGTTGTAAGCGCTGTCTACTGCCTCGTCCTCCTCATCTCCTTCCTCCTCTTCCCCGTCCGCTGAAGAACCGGCCGCGGACAATATCCCATCCTCAGAGTCCACGGTCAGTGGTGGGGTAGTGGTGGCGGCCGCACCTAGGATGGAATGCAGTGCCTCGTAGAAACGGGATGTGTGGGGCTGGGATCCGGAGCGTCCGTTTGCCTCTTTGGTCTTCTGGTAGCCTTGTCTCAGCTCCTTGATTTTCACGCGGCACTGCGTTGCATCCCGGCTGTATCCTCTCTCTGCCATGGCTTTAGAGATCTTCTCATAGGTCTTTGCATTCCGTCTTTTGGAGCGCAGCTCGGAAAGCACGGACTCATCTCCCCACACAGCAATGAGATCCAAGACTTCCCGATCCGTCCATGCTGGGGCCCTCTTTCTATTAGATTGCACGGCCATCTCTGCTGGAGAGCTCTGCATCGTTGCCACTGCTGCCACTGCTGCTGAGCTCGCCACGGTGTCCAAACAGAAACTGTGCTTCAAACTGCCCAGACAGGAAAAAGAATTCAAATTTTCCCGGGGTGTGGCTGGTCAGAGCATCCGAGCTCGGACTGCTGTCCAGAGCGTCAACAGAGTGGTGCACTGTGGGATAGCTCCTGGAGCTATTAGCATTGATTTCCATCCACACCTAGCCTAATTCGATATGGCCATTTCGAATTTAGCGCTACTCCTCTCGTTGTGGAGGATTACAGAAATCGATTTAAAGAGAGCTCTATGTCGAACTAAATGGCTTCCTGGTGTGGACGGGTGCAGGGTTAATTCGATATAACGGAGCTAAATTCGACATAAAAGCCTAGTGTAGACCAGGCCTCAGTGGACGTGAGAACAATTGATCATCATCTTCTTCATAACAATCTTTTACATGTTTGAAGACTGTTATCATGTTCCCCTCAGCCTCCTCTCCTCTAGAACAAACATGCCCTGTTCTTTCAACCTTTCCTCATAGCTCAGTATTTCTTAACCTCTTAGCATTCTTGTTGCTCTGCTCTGGACTCTCTCCCATTCATCCGAATCTTTCTTAAAGTGTGGTGCCCAAAACTGGTCACAATACTCCAGTGGAGGCCTCACCAGAGCCAAGCAGAGCAGAACAATTGGCTCCTGTGTCATACATCCGACATGCCTGTTAATACAGAACGACATTTGCCTTTTCACATTGTTGACTCATACTCAGTTTGTGATCCACTATAACCCCCAGATCTTGTTCTGCATTATTGCTACCTAGCCAGTTATTCCCCATTTTGTATGTGTACCTTTGATTTTTCCTTCCTAAGTATAGTACTTTGCAGTTGTCTTAATTGAATTTTTTCTGTTGATTTCAGACCAGTTCTCCAATTTACCAAGATCATTTTCAATTTCCAATCCCATCCTCCAAAGTGCTTTCAAGCCCTTCGGTTTGATGTCACCTGTCAATTTCATAAGTATAATCTCTATTCCATCATCCAAATCATTGATGAAAATATTATATAGTACCAAACAAAGACCTCCACAGGACTCCACTTGATACAGCCTCTCAGTTTGACAGCAAACCATTGATAACTACACTTTAAGTACAGTTTTTCAACCAGTTCTGCACCGACCTTATATTCATTTCACCTAGACCATATTTCCCTAGGTTTTTTTTAATGAGAATGTCATGTGGGATTTTGTCAAAAGGCTGACAAAAGTCAAGATATATTATGCCGCGTCTTGCAAGATATATTTATTTCAGTGGCCAGTGGCCCACAGGGACTGTCAGAGAGCTCTGGGGTATAAAGTTCACCTCTTTTTTGTTCAACAATGCTGCCTACACAAGCATGGGAAGGAAGGGTGGTGTGGGCGCTGCTAAGGTTGCTCTGAACTATACAATAGAATTTAGATGGTTGATTTGATCTTTTAAAGCTCTAACTGGATTGGGAATTGGTTATGTGATGAACCACATTGTTCGCTGTCTGACACTTAAACAGCTGTGCTCAGCAGGAGTGGGAACTCCTTTGTGCTTTGTGAGAGGGGGAATCAGGGATTTATATGTTGGAAAAACAGAAGAAAAAATTGTCCTGCACCATGGAAAGGAAAAGCAGAACTGAGTTTTTAAATGCTGTGAAGAAGACTCTGGTTAGGTTCTCAATTCAACCCATGAGGTCAAGTCTTGAAGACCTTATTATTGTAGTCGGCCGTGGCCCCCATCCATGGCTTGGCCTCTGCCAGGCAGGAGCAGCTCCTGCTCCATGGGGACAGCCCATGGTCCCCCTGCATCTGCCTTTTCAAGCAGTCTCTGCCTGTGTCTGTGTAGACTTCCTGTCATGTCCTTACCTTGCTTTTGAAGTGCAGTTTACACAGCTTCCTGTCTGAACCACAAACACCAGTGGAAGTCCTCGCTGATATGAGGGGCTTGCTTAAAGCTATATTACCAATTGTATTCATGCTTATGAATATGTAATTAATATGTAAGGAGTGAGTGAGATAGTATGAGTGTAAAAAACCAATTACAAGGCTTGAACCGAAATATTACCATGTAAGGATAATCAAGGTGTATATGGGACTGTATATACACCTACGGCAGTAGTGGCCAGAGAGAGATGTAACCCACGACAGCAAGAACTCAGGACCGGACCAGAAGAAGTAGCGCCCTCCCGCAGATCCAAAGGGATTCCGCGGGCTCTCATCACCTAGTGGTTCGATCTCTGGGAAGCTGGAACCTGGCCAGTCTCAGTCACCTAAGATCGAAAGCAACACTTGCGTCGAAAGCCTGTCACCAGTATGCATGGAATGTGTGTGTGAGTATAATTGTGCAAATAAGGGAAGCAAGCAATACACTAACCCTCAGTACTGCTTCAATTTGACCTTTGTTTGTGGTTATTTCTTGCCCTGAGCATTGGCCTGCTAAACCCAGGGTTGTGAGTTCAATCCTTGAGAGGGCCATTTAGGGATCTGGGGCAAAAATCTGTCAGGGATGGTACTTGGTCCTGCTGTGAAGGCAGGGGACTGGACTCAATGACCTTTCAAGGTCCCTTACAGTTCTATGAGATAGGTATAACTCCATATTAATTATCAGTTACATCATATGAATTTGTCCTGCGCCATTCCCTCACAGGACAGCCAGCCCCCATATCATCAGTTCTCTGTGGGATGCACAGATTTAAATGTATCTGTGGGGGGCAGGACCCTCAGTGTAGAAAACGTTTTGAATGGGCCATGTGATATTTTAGTTTAGAAGAGTGCATCAACTCTTAGAGGATTTGAGTATTAACTTCCCTTAGCTTATATGCTCACTGCATTTGATCATAATAACTCTCCTAGTTTGTTCACACAACTGAGCTCCACATTTGAGGGTGTTAGCCTCTTCCTAAAGCTGAGGCGCATCATGTCAGTAACATTACTGAGCTCTGTGTTCTCAGAGAAAGAGTTGCCTTCACCTGTGTCATCTGTTTTCTTTGTATATCTGTCTCTAGTATTTCTTCAGCTCTTCCTCCTTGTGGCATTCCCGAGCTTGGAGAGCCTGCCTGGCAAACTGAAGAAGTGGGAACAATGCTTCAAGGACCCTGACTATGACGAACTGGTGGATATTGCCAAAAATGGATTGGAAAAAAGGTGTAATTCAAAGAAGGTGGTGATTGTTGGGGCAGGAATCAGTGGACTCACAGCTGCCAAATTGTTGAGAGATGCTGGTTGCAAGGTAATTCTATCGACTGAGAGGAGCCAGAGAAAGGCCAGGGAGTCCGTGCTCCCTTGAAATAGTCTTATTGTTTCTTTTTCATAGCATTAACAATGCAGAAGAACCAAAGGAGGTGAACTTAAGTAAGCTGGGTGAACTAAGAAAAGAAGAAAGAAGGATGGCAGATTTTTTTTTTCATTTCCAGACAAAAAGTTAATTGACTTAAACTTAAGATTGTTAGAGAAATAACAACATAATCAAAAGAAAAAATAATAATGTTGTAACAAATAAGCCCTGCAATCACTGTATTTTATGAAGATGGTGATTAGTTAAGGAAATGTTCCAAAAGACTCAAACACTTCATCATAACCCCTTTACAGTCCACATGTTTCTAACAAAATTCTCTATGTGTGAAAATTGATATTAGCCATCCCATAACAACCTTAATTTGCAACCTGGTCTTTTTTGTTTGTTTTGTTTTTCCAAGGAGCTACTCTCTTGGTCCTCCTGTTAGCCTTGGGAAAGACTGAAATCCATTATCCCTATCCACTGCCTACACATCCACAACTCTCCCTCTAGAGAGCACCCAAGAACTACAACCCCCTAAGGCTGGAAAAATCAACAGAGATCACTTGTGCACTTATACTTTAAGTGCTTAGTTGTTGTACTAAACACTCTCTCATTGAAAATCTGGTACTTACAATACATGGGAAAGGCTACTATTAATGTAAAAACTACCAGATTAGAATCTGATCCTTGAGATCTCAGTTCAGAAATACATCTCTATTTAGAAAAGCTGCTTGAGCACATACTTACTTTAAGCACATACTTATTTTGAGTACATACTTACTTTGAGCACGTGCTTAAATCCTAGGGAGTTCAAATTCAAGTTTAGCATATGCTTACTCATTTTCCTGAATAAATGCCTGAGTGCTTACTTACTGTCCAAAATTACTTTTATAAAATATTAATTTTATTTCTGTGATGACCAAATCAACCTTTACCATACAAGAGAGAAATATACTGACAAGGGATTGAAAATGATGGCCTGTGTTCCATGTTCCTAGGTTCTGATTCTGGAAGCCAGTGGCCACTTGGGAGGACGCATCGAGACCTATCGAGAACGAGATTGGTACATGGATCTGGGACCCATGCGTTTGCCAAAACATCACAGGTAATATACAGTTCACCCTGCTCAGCCACCAACCTTGTTCAGAATAGTGGAAATCCCATTTTAAAGATTTTTATGATAATTCCTAGGGGAAAAAATCTTTGGAGGTGCAGATTTGAATAGTTAAAATACCCCTTTATTCTCTCATGTGGACGACAAGCACTGCGTTGAATCATCAGCCTATCTGCAGGAAGGAGAAAAATTGGAGCTGTTACTCTTTTTGCACAAAGGGGCTGGGAGTGGGTGGGCTGAAGCAGAGAGTGGGTTAAGTAATGGCTTGCTACTGCACCAGCTAGTGCAGCTAAATGACCATAGAGATCCCAGGGCCCAGGACTACTCCAAATTAATTCCCCCAGAAGCAAAAGGGAACCAAAGATTTGGCTGTGGCTGCTCAGGCAGTCGCAGACAAACATTTCATTTCAAGTCAGCCAACCAAATTGAAACATTTTGATTTGCGAATGTCTAGATGTTTTGACATTTATGTTCAGAACCTTTCATCACACTCTGGGATGAAAACAACATGAAAATACCAGTATTTCTCTCGCAATAGAATACCAGTTTTCACAAACAGCTCTGCTTATGAGTCTGCTACTCCCTTACCCTGTAGCTCAACCACTGCAGGGTTTTGTTTTAAATCCTTAGGTCCCAGGTTCAATCCCTGCAGATACACCCCCTAGTAGTGTTATTACAAATGCATGTATATATCTGATCTTTTTTTGCTCTGAAGAATTTTAGGAACGGGCCGCTTTTGCTGTCATGTGTCTTGTAATGAGTGAGAAAGAGTCTGATTTTACAATTAGTAGATGTAATACTTGATCATCATGTGTAATCATTGAAGCCAATGGGACTGTTCTGATTGGAAGAGATGGTCAAAATTTTTCAAGCAAAAAGTATTTTTCATTGAAAAATGGCATTTCCTGTTTTTACCAATGTTTTTCATGACACATTTGCCTACATTTTTTATTGGAAACAAATCATTATTTAAATACTTATCAATGTTGCTCATTTACTGAAAACTTGGGCTTGTAGTACATTCCCCTCCCCCATTTTTTTAATTAAGAAGTTGTGAAAGTGAGTCTGATGTGAGCCCTGCAAAACTGAAATAATGTCAATATTTCAAAAAATTTCACAATTGAAAAAAGTTAACAGCACTAGTTGCATGATTGTTTTCAGGTGAAATATCTCTTTAGGGTCATATACCCACAAATAATTTCAATTACATAGGTAGGAGCCATCTGATTTTTGTTAGAGGATCATATATGAGCATATAACATTCTTTCACATTTTTGACATTTTCTTTTTGTCTCCTCTTTCCTTTATCTCTAGGATTGTGCGTGAATTTATTAAACAATTTAGACTTAAACTGAATACATTCTATAATATTGATGCGAATGCCTGGTATTTGGTTAACAATGTCAGAGCAAGATATAAAGATGTGGAAAAAAACCCTGATATCTTGCGGTACCCTGTGCATCCCGCAGAGAAGGGAAAATCTGCCACTCAACTTTATGAGCAGACACTGGATAAGGTATGTGTGTTGTGGAATGGACTCATGTACTGTAGGTAGGTCTTCACTTCAAAGTTAGCATGGGCTGTTCATCAGTTTTTGGCCCTAAACCTGTCTCATCCACAGACACAAAACCATCTCGCTCAAGTTGAAGAGTCCTTTCAACCCAGGCTAGCTGGCAGAGCTTGGGTTTTAGGTGCTGACCTGCCTGAGAGACAGTGCTTAATTTGTGCCAGGGCTTGCCAAAACTGAGCCCTGGCTCCTCTAGGCTAGGAAGTTCATAACTCCGGCATTACTGGGCTTGCTACATCAGTTATGAATGTAAAAAAAATTGCTTGAACATTTCATTAAAAATTAAGCCCTGCTGAGAGGAGTAGGGCTTAGGACACACCCCTCTCCTTGGCATCTCCCACTGGCTCATTTAAGTGACTTGGCATGCTAGCTTTTGTGGTTCCCATTCTTGGGTGTTATCTCCTTCCATTCACCAGGTAGGAACCTGAGCATCTAACTCAGACTTTGTGAATCCCAGTGCATTTCTAGGCACCTACTTGTTAGGTATTGCAATACTGAGCATGCAATGCCTAAGTCCCTGTGGGAATCTAGGCCCAGATGTTTAAAGATAACTGACTGAGGGGCCTACATCTCATATTTAAAAGGGATTTAGGCACTTAGGATTCCCATAGACAGTCAATGGGATTGAGATGATTAAGTGTGGGATTCACAAAGATATTTAGGCTCCTAACTCCAATCAATTACAAAGGGAGTTAGGCACTTAAATCGCTTTGTCAATTGCACCATCTCAAAATGAGACTTAGGGCTGGTCTACATTAACCCCCCAATTCAAACTAAGATACGCAACTTCAGCTACGTGAATAACGTAGCTGAAGTCGACGTACCTTAGTTCGAACTTACCGCGGTCAAGACGCAGCAGGCAGGCTCCCCCGTCGACTCCGCGTACTCCTTGCACCGAGCAGGAGTACCGGAGTCGACGGCGAGCACTTCTGGGTTCGATTTATCGTGTCCAGACAAGACGCGATAAATCGAACCCAGAAGTTCGATTGCTTGCTGCCAAACCAGCGGGTAAGAATAGACGTACCCTTAGTCTCCTAAATCAGTGTGTCAATGAGCACAGCAATGTCTTTCAAAATGTGGGCCCTAGCACCTAGTGTTTTTTTCACAAGACTGACGTACTTAACTCCCACTTATTTTAATGACAATTAGATTCCTAAATGCTTTGCGAATCCCAACCCAACATGCTTTCAAAAATCCCAGCAGATGGTTATTGGCATCTCTGGATGCCTAAATACCTTTGAAAATCTGCCCCCCCCCGAGTACCTAAGTCACTTATGAAAATGGGAGTTAAGGCCCCAAATTAATTTAGGCACTACTGAAAGGTTTCCCTTTGGTCTATTTATTTTTTATATTTTAGAAAGTCTGAGTGAAAGCAGTTCAGTTAGCTAGAGAACCGTAGAAGTGAAAAACAAAAAGCTACCTTACCCTTATTAAAACAATCTTGTTAACAGCTCTTTCACCTGAGCAGTCATTTCATGTCCCGCCCCCTTGTTCATATGCACTAGGATACAGTCTTTAATACGGCCCTACAAAATTCATGGTCCATTCTGGTCAATTTCATGGTCATAGGATTTGAAAATCAATCAATTTCATGTTTTCAGATGTTTACATCTGAAATTTCATGGAGTGGTAACCGTGGGGGGTCCCGATCCAAAGGAGGCCGGAGAGGATGGGGGGGTGTTGCAAAGCAGTTGAGGCGGGGTTGTGGGATTGCCACCCTCACTTCTGTGCTGCCTTCACAACAGCACCCTCTGGAGCTTTCTGCAGCTGCAAGAGGTTTCTGGAGGTGGAGCTGGGTCTGATCTCCCCTGTGCTGCTGGGAGTGCCCCAGCTGAGGGCTCCTAGCTGCTAGTCTCGGCCGGGCTGAGGGGGAGATCCTGTTGTAGATATCCAGAGGTGGGTCTGATCTCCCCCCCAGAGTGGCTGCACAGGGGAAGGGTAAGTCACATCCCTCCACAGCCCAGAGGAGACTAGCAACTGGAGCCGGGGGGCCGGTAAGAGCCCTGTCCCTGCCTCTGATTCCACTGTCCATGAATTTGGTAGAGCCCTTGTCTTTAAGTACATAATCACATAGGGGTGGGGTGAGTGGGGGAAGGGGAACCTTTAAAGGCAGAGCCATGATCATGAAACAAAGGACTGTTTTCTTGGTTGCTCTCCAGGTGACAACAGACTGCAGTGCTCTGAAAGAGAAATATGATTCCTTTTCCACCAAGGTAATGGAAGTTGGCATTCCAGTATCTTTGAATCTAAATGTTTCTAGTTTCCTAAACCTTTCATTATGTTAGCCAATAGAACTCCTTGTGGGATAGATCTTGCCACATGCACACAGTCATGGTAGAAGATAATACATGGGACTTCTCCTAAAGATCCTGGCTGGGCAGAGGTAGTACATTCTATTCATGGGTCTTCAGGGGACATACAGGGGACTTCCCCCTTGGGTCTTCCTGGATCTGCTTTCTGGCAGGAGGAGGGCAGGGACATGGATCCACGTTATCTCTGCTTCTCTCTACCCAAAACACCAGCCCATAGAAAGCAAGCAGTCTTGGTGCTCCCATACACCCAGTGTTTGAGTTGTGAAGACAGGACTCTCCTCCACTCCTCTGTAATAGATTTAGCATCTCTTTTTCCCATCCCAGCTGACATCCAGTTTTGTATCCTCATCCACAGTTATTTGAATGAGACAACTTCCTCTGTCTTCCTCCCACTCTTACTTTTACCCTATAAGATGTGTTGTCTGGACCACAGTTCTCTAATCCAAGGTAATTAAACTGTGGTATGGACACTATGGATGAAATCCTGTGCTCATTGAAGTCAATGGCAAAGCTCCCATTGACTTCACTGAGATCAGGATTTCATCCTGTGAATGGAAAGGGGTGAGGGATTGTGTCTTGAAAGTGAGCATCAACCTTACTTTAATGATTGGTTATGAGGAAGCAGACAAATCACACAGGGGGGTAGTGAATAGGTTTGACCACTGCCCATCCCTAATGCATACTGAATAATTTCTGTGCTCATCTGCAATGAAATATCTCTTCGGCTGTCATTTCTAAATGAGGATATAATATGCATGCACCTTCCACCCTCTCCACTCTTCCCCACCCAGGAGTATTTGATTAAAGAAGGAAATTTAAGTAGAGGAGCCATCGACATGATTGGTGACTTGCTGAATGAAGATGGTAGATTTTACATGTCATTTCTTCACTCAGTCATGGCTCATGTTACCTTCTCCAACAACAGGTGAGAAGAAATGAATCTATTTACTTGCTTTATATTTGGAAGAACATGTGCCTGTGGTAGGATCTGTCTATCTAACCATCCATTTTTAAATACCTCTGCAACCTCATTCTATCTCATCCATCTATCATCCCTTCTATCAATGCAGCTGGTCACCTTCTTTCACAAAGGCACTGTTGATCTCAGTAGTCACAGAGGGTATATGTATAATTCACTAGCCATGAAATGCAAAGGTCCCTTCACACAGGGTGAGCAGGACATTACTGAAAGAGTCCATGGCTTCTAGCTGGGTGGGTTCCTATGGAATTCAATAAGTAACTCAAGAGTGTATGTGCTATGGGCATATTGGGGCAGAGCTCTGTTGTATCTCACGAACCCTTTTGTTAAATGACCCCAAATTAGGATCACTAATTCTACCCACAATCCTATGAAACATACCTAATTCCAAGGCAATGTGAGTAATCATGAGGTTTCTAGAGCATTTGGAAGAGTGAATCTTTAATCATAGAACTGGTCTTCACCTTAACTGCAGCAGACCTGGCACTCTGCTAGACGCTGGAGCTGGAGAATCAGTGGAGGTTAGCTTGTATCTTCAGCTATGAAGCTCCTTACAGCTCTCCTCATAATTATTCTTCTTGTGAAATTCATTCAGATAACTTGTCAGAGGATGTCATTGTTTTACCATAATCTCTTTTCCCTCTTTCTTTCAGTTACGATGAGATAACGGGGGGATTCGATCAACTTTCTAATGCTTTCTACCAGTATATTCGTGGGAGTATTCAGTTTCACTCTCCAGTAGTGAAGATACTAACCAAGGGTGACCAAGTGAGAGTGTTTTACCGTAGGGCAAACACATCGGTACCCTTATCTGTGACGGCCGACTATGTCCTTGTAACAACCACTGCAAAAGCCGCACGGCTCATTAAATTTTCTCCACCTCTTTCTCCTCTCAAGACCCATGCCCTGCGCTCCATTCACTACTCAAAGGACGTTAAGATTGCTTTGGCCTGTACTAAAAAGTTTTGGGAGAAGGATGGAATCCATGGCGGGAGATCAATCACTGATCGCCCATCCAGATTCGTCTACTACCCCAGCCACAATTTCCCCAGTGGCCTGGGCGTGATCCTGGCTTCCTACATTTGGGGCGATGATGCTGAATTATTTATTTCCCTTAGTGATGAAAAGTGTGTTGATGTGGTGCTGGAGGACCTGGCAGAAATCCACCAGGTGCCCAAAGATTATATCCGGAGTGTCTGCAATAAATATGTGATCAAGAAATGGGGCCTAGACAGATATTCCATGGGCTCATATGTTTCCTTCACCCAGTACCAATATGTCGACTACTCCAAGGCTCTGTTTCAGAATGAAGGAAGAATCCATTTTTCAGGAGAACTCACAGCCCAGCCTCATGCCTGGATCGACACTGCTATGAAATCTGCTTTGAGAGCAGCCAGGAACATCCATGCTGTTATTAACGCCTCACCGAGGCAGCAACATGAGCTGAAGGAAAATGAACTTTAATCGATTCAATAACTGTAATAGTGAGGGTGTTTGGGGAAGGGACAAATGAACCAGCTAGCACTTGGGGAATTAGAAATTGCACCACTAATCACCATGCACTACTCGATTGTTACTTGAGGTTCAGCCCTGAAGGGGTGGTGCATAAATTGCCTGCACCAGCATTAGACTATTACTCACATTGCTGAGCTGCCTCAATCACTCTGCTTAGCTCCCAGAGGGTGAAGCCGAGGTTGTGCCCAGTCCCTGCCCAGTCCCCTTGCACCCACATGCTCTAGGAAGATGATAAGTGAGCAAGTAGCTTCACTTAGTCCTAGGTCTGGGTGTCCCATGCAGGAGTGTGAAGGGGGTTCTGACTCCCCCTGACTTAATCAGTCACATAATCTGAACCACAGCCTACATAGCATGGAAACTGTGGTTGTTCTGCCTCCCTCCTCTGGAGCCAGCCACAAGTCCAGCCCTTGCTGATCCCATCAGCCACCTCAGCATTCCCCAAAGGAATAGCTGCACAGAACAGCATATGTCCTGGTCTCCAAACCAGTGGCAAAGTCTCTGCACTCCCTTGGAGATCCTTGCAGAAAAAAATGTTTCTTGCATCACACCCCATTCAGATCTCTGCCTCACTGACCCAATCTGTCCATTGGTGAAAAGTGGTGTGATTATGGTCCTGGTCTTTCCATGATCTACCTGTGTGGAAGACTGTGTGATGTATATAGATGTCGACTATCTCTTGAAAATATTGTTAATAACTACATGCCCTTGTGGTTTGCAAGGTTAAAATCTGAATCCATTATTCTCTCAGTGCCACAGCAAAAATTTGCACCATCCCATTTTACCCCAAAATCATGCTTAGCCACTTCTAACTCTAGCTAGAAAATTAAAACAACAGGTGAACACCACTTCACACCCCAGGGTATGAAACATATTGTCTAAGGAATCCCAGAAAAATTGAAATTGGTACTGAATCATTCTCCATTCCACCCTCAAAGATTAAAAGATGGGATATTTAATTAATATTGTCAAACTACTGTTAGTTACTGGGACAGAAGAGTCTCAGAAATTTACATATGGATGAGATTCCTTTTTCTGCCCTGTAGTTAGTTGAAACACCCTCCCTGAAGATTGACAATTAAGCGTAAAATTCTGTTTTCCTAAATATTGGCCCATTGAGTCCTCTGAATCAAAGAAGTCCCAGATATGTGAATGGGAACTGTAGATCTGAATTGACTAGAAGAAACTTGCTGTTTAACCCCAGGAAGCAGGAAGAAGATGAATAGATCAAATGTCCCGATACCCCAGAATATGAACCCCCTGTTTTTCAACACAAATTAAAAAAACAAAACAAAATAAACAAACAAAACTCTACTCTCGTCTTCCTTGTGAGTCTGATATACCAACTCTACATGTGGCTAATCTGCCTTGTTCCTCCAACAGGCTCTCTTATTCTGTTCTAAACACCAAAAGAATGTGAAATGAAATGTATCTGATATCATCTTTGTATTGGATTTTTGGCACTTCCCCTCCCTTTCTCTGCCTCCCCCACCCTTTCTTCTCAGCTTTCTAATTAAGAGATCTATGAGAAAAGTACAAAAGTGAGTACAGAAAAAAACTAATTCTGGGGGGGGGGGATATTTTAGAAAGTAGAGGAAAATGGGCAAAATAATATTCTTTAACTTTGAATTACAACTTCTCTATCAGATGACTGGAGGACAGCTAATGTAACGTCATTTTTTAAAAAAAACTCCAGAGGCAATATTGGCAATTACAGGCTGGTAAGCCTAACTTCAGTTCTGGGCAGATTGGTTGAAACTATAGTAAAGAACGGAATTTTCAGACACATCAATGAACACAACTTGTTGGGGAAGAGCCAACATGTTTTTTTGTAAAGGGAAATCATGCCTCACCAATCTACTAGAATTCTTTGAGGGGGTCAACAAGCATGTGGACAAGGGGGATCCAGTGGATATAATGTATTTAGATCTTCAGAAAGCTTTTGACAAAGTCCCTCACAAAAGGCTCTTAAGCAAAGTAAACTACCATGGGATAAGAGGGAAGGTCCTCTCCTAGATCAGTAACTGATTAAAAGATAGGAAACAAAGGGAAGGAACAAATGGTCATTTTTCAGAATGGAGAGAGGTATATAGTGGTGCCCCCCAGGGGACTGTACTGGAACCAGTCCTATTCAACATAATCATAAATCATTTGGGGAAAGGGGTAAACAGTGAGGTGGCAACATTTGTAGATGATACAAAACTACTCAAGATAGTTAAATGCAGAGCAGACTGCAAAGAGTTGTGGAAGTGAAGAAAGGGATAAAGGGAATTTGAACATAGAGATCTTAGTCTCTAGGAATAGAGCAAGAGTCAGGCTAACAAAGTCAGGCTGACACTGACTCTAATAACACGAGACTTGAAGGCCTAGGTGAGTAGAAAGCAAATGGGAACACACTGTAAGAGATACTGTTTTGACCTTGTGTTAGATAAGAATGGAATGTAGACTGTGGCAGAAATTAATGAGAAAAGTGAGATATCAGGAAGAAAAATGTATAACAAAATACAGCTGTTGCTCATTATTGTATGTAATGAAAGGTATAAAAGCTTGCCTAATTGTTTACCTAA